CTTAGTCAGGGAATGGCATTAGCCGATGTGTAGTGGATTACTTTGATGCCCTCCATTGAAATTACTACAATGTAATCAATGTTTTGTTGATTCGTACGTGAACGATGATATGTTGTAAGTAATTAGCTATTGTGACCCCTGCAGCCAATAAAGGCACTACAATGTATCATAACAAACAAACAAAAGTATTTTAATCTTGAATAGCATCACGATTCCGGAATCACGACCCCCCCACCCCTGAATGGAGAGACAAGGGCGAGCGCTTGTGGGAGTCGGACGCTGCTGCGCTCTCCACCCTCGACGTCGTCCAGACGCAGAGAGAGAGAGAGAGAGCGCGAGGGGCAGATGGGGGAACATCCCCCCGTGGCTTCACCCCAAGCGCAGGCACTCACTTCCCCCCTCGCTCTCTCCCAAGCGAGCGGCCCTCCGGGAGTCGGCCCCGCCAACCCCCAACCTCCTTTCTCCCACAACCGCCACCACCACCACCACGGCTGCCACCCCCCACTCCGCTCCAAGCCGCAGCGTCCCCGACAAAAGCACCAGCTCGCGTTATCTGGCGCGGACGGTCGCAGGGGAAATCAGCTCAGCTCCGATTAAAAGGAACATGCGCTGGGCGTGTGAAGCCACCACACCCCCATCACACCTCCCACCTACCCCCGCCGCACCGTGGTGTCACGACGCGCCCTCCACGCGCGCTCGTCCCAACCTTCGCACCGCGCCTCACCGAGCCGCCGGCCCCTCCCCCCGCGTGACCCCCCGCGCGAGCGTTGGCGGCGCGCGATGGCCTCCAGCGGCGGTAATTGCGACGCGAGGTCGCGCCGGAGACGCGGCGCGCGCCGACGCTCGGCCGAGCGGACAGCGGCTAAATCCCGCGACGAAGACCCCCACACAAAGGGGGGCCGGCGCGGGCGGCACGCCTAACGAGCGATTACGAGAGGAAACTTCGGGCGCACCTCCCCCGCTCTCCCCCACCTCACCCTTCCTTGCGCGCGATCATCCGTGCATAATACGATCGCTCTTTCTGGTGTGGTTTAGAGGTCGTAGCGCGTGTTGCGTGGAACGATGTCCGACATTTCGCGACCCGTGAAGGGAGCTTCGTGCCGAGCGGCACGCGGTGCAACACGAGAATACGTGGGTGAGCCTTACAGCAGAAACGTCAACGTTATTAATTATAAAACTATTTAAAACTATTTTTATTTTACCAGGTAAAGCCAACTGAGCTACATAGCTCTTTTTCGGAAGCGACCTGGCCACAAATTAAATGGCTTATCACGTGGAAATGTGTTTTAGAGACAAATACTCGAACACACATCTTTCTAATTGTGGAAGCAGAAACCGGAGGACCTTGATAAAAATTCACACGACTACAGGGAGAACATGCAAACTCCAAATATACAGGCGTCAGAGTCGGGATCGACCCCACGACCTCCTGTATATCTCGCCACCATAGTGGACCTATGGCAGGGGCCGGCTCTATAAGCGTACGAGCGTCACCTGACTACACTCACACGTACACTCCAGCAAAGCCGTTAAAACAAGACCGTTAAAAAAAATGTATACGTCGTTATATACTTTGGTACTTTGGAATATTTGTTCCAATCTAGAGCACTTATTATTATTAGGCAAATCATTCGCTGGCTAAATGGGGTACAATGAAATTTCAAATTACACTGAAATTAACTGCAAGCGAAATCATTATCGGTTTATTACTCTTAAAACAACATCAAAATAATTAGATCGGACTTACAGATTTAATTAAGACGAACCCTCCGAGCTAAGTTTCTCGTTTAAATTACATCAGGATCACATTCCTGCACCATCAATGTCACTCTTATTAACGTCTGCTAAGTTGCATAACTCGTGACAAACGCTAAGCCCATTAACATCACTCACTCCGTGCAGTCATTTCCTTAAAGTAATCATATTTCTCAGCCCCCCCCCCCCCTCCAGGACGAGCTGTAACTCTGCAACATTGTTACGTCAAGAGAGGGGAGGGCAGAGGAAGAGGAGGAGGAACCCCACTTCTTCGGTGTAAATCACGGAGTCGTTCAACGGGCTGGCGACCTGGCAGCGTCAGCCCGCGCACGTGCACGAGAAAACAAGAAGAAGAAAAACTACTTTTATTAAAACTCGCCTTCTGCAGTCACCCGCCTGCCCGCCGTCCATCACGTAATAGCGGCAATTTGGTAACGTCGGCGTCGTTATTACGTGAAATGTGTCCTTTTTCAAAAGTTTTTTTTTGACGTCAACCGCACCACGACATTAATATTAGCGTTTAAGAAAATTGCGGAACGGAGAATAGAGGCAACATTCGAGAACGCCGCACGCTGTTTAGGCACCGAAGGTTGTCAGACGATGCGCAGGCTGGAAAAGTCCAAATTGAATGCGTGAGCAGCCAAGCACTGCAATTAAAACTCGCTCCGCTGCCACCGGATTTATAGTTCGGACGGACCAGCAAACCAACTGCATGTTCTGAACTGGCGTTCAAAACGACAGCTGTTTTCGCCGTCGTTGACGATTGAGGTCCTAGCGAGCGCCCGGTTGGGTTGGGTGGAGTTCTTCAGCTTTTTCCAGCTCGATAAAAAGTGACGATTACACACAGTGCGCGAGATCCAGCGCTGTCCGTCGAAGCTGTCACGGCGTGTACAAATTGCAGCAGTTCGCTCGGAGATTGGCGCTCTTTATTTCGCCAGCTGCCACGCAAGGATCGCTGGTGCTCGGGGCTTGGGGCTTGGGAAGGCTCGAGGCCTGGCAGCGCTGTTTAGTGAAAGTGACAAACCTGCCACGTGTTTAAAAAAGCCCTGGGCACGCGCCACAACATTTTTTTTTTAACCAGTCCCATCAACCCCGCTTCTGCGCCAATTAAAACGGCACTATTGAGCAGCCTGCCGCTTAGCGTTCATTAAGTCCCCCTCCAAGTGTCTCAATCGGGCCGCAGCGAATCAGGCAGCAGTAATTAACTGGTTCGCTGTTTTAATGAGCCCAGGCGGCAATCAGGATTTGTTAAACAAAGCGGCCGTTTAAAGGCAGTTTGTATTAATTGCCCACACTTCCCCCCTCTGGCCCTGCCTGCTCGCATGCCCATTCTCTCTCTCTCTCTCACTTGCCTTCTCTCAGCCACCCCCCCCCCCCCGCTCAGTGTGCGTGTGTGTGCGTGTCTTTGTCTGTGATGGCGAAGGGTAGTATAGCGGTTAGTGCACTGCGCTACAAACCTGGCGACACGAGTTCGATTCCCAGTCACGACTAACCAGCGACAATTATCTGAACAAGTCCTGGGACTCCCCTAGGTCGACTCAGGCACAAATGAGTACCTAGTACAGTGTGTAAATATCGCCACTGGGGAGACAAATGCGGCGAGGCACGGTGTTGGCCACCCACCCCCTCGTGTGCCGTGCCAGTCCTCAATAGGTGCTCGCTAACAGCACTTGGCCCAACAGTCTGTCACAGGCAATACGGGGGATCTTTGTCTTTGTGTGTCCACGTGTGCGTGTGGGTTTGCGCGCAGCAGCAGGGGGGTTGGTGTGTGGGTGTTTTTGTGCTGCCTGCTTTATCCTCCGCGTCTCCGCATCGATCCCGTTGCCTTGCACTCTCGCCTTATCGGTCGCGGGCTCCGTGCACGAATCTCCAATGGAAAACAAGTCAATCGGAACAATCGGGAGGTGGTCGGCGCACACGCGCACACACGCGCGCACGCACACACACGCGCACACACGCACGCACACACACGTGCAACCACGAGGACGGACGGGCGAGCGGCCAGGGGAAGAGCACCGGTGGAGGAGGTGGAGTGGAGGGGGGAGGTGCGGTTTAACCGGGGTGGGTGGCTGGGTGCCGGCCTGATTGGCAACTCGTCCGCCACAATAACACCGAGCGGGGGAAGATTAAATTCAGGGCTTTTTATCGGCGCTGATTGATTGTGACAGGGTGAGCGGGTCCCGTTCGCAAACAAATTACGCTCCCCCTGTTTAACGAACCCGGCTCGAGCCCGCCAGGGTCGCGCTCGCCTCCTAATTGGGAGCCGCCGTAGCCGCCGCAGCCGCTCACCGAGATTTTGCCGCGGCAAACAAATTGCGCGCGGGAACGCCGCTTCATCGATTGCGCGGCGCCGGCCTGGCGCGCGTGCGACGGTGTTTGCTCGCGACGGCACCGAGCGATTAAATCATTTGAACTGTGCGTGAAATGTAATGGACTCGCGTTGGCAGTGGCGGAGGTTGCACGAATAATGAGCCCGAAGGCAATTGCGGCGAGTTGCTTCGGGTCCGCGTTTGTATCAAGCTCGCTCGGTAGCTGAACGGGCGACGTTGTGTTGTTGCTGTAACTTACTGACCCGCTCATACTTGACATCTGTAAAAAAACGCTTCGAAGCTCATCGAATTCCTTCTGGAGTCGAAATAAAGATTCTGATTCTATGTTTGGCGATTGCGTTTGTTTTGCCCTCTGTCGACCCGTTCCGATGCCATTAACCATCCGTCACCGCAGCTACGCTCCAAATTATCGCTTGCACAGTCCGCCAAACGAGCGACGGACGAGACGTGAGAAGGAAGCGCGTCATCATGGCAACGCACGTCTCGCGCTCAGCATTCGCCGTCGACAGACCTGCTGCTCGTGTAGAATTGTGCATTATTTTTTAAACACAACTGCTAAGATCCCCGCCACCCCCGTGCTCCGTGAGCTATTGGCCTAAAACTGGCTTATCGGTACCACCCAGAGTGGCAAATATGAACAATTCATTTCTTGAAGCATTTAATATCTAGATGACAAATACATATGATAGCAAGATCAATGTGGTAGCTGTTATGAGTTAAATATCATTAGATAGGAGTATAAAAAAGATAGCATATATACTAAGCTTTCCGTCCACGGTGGACATTGCCCATGGTGCACACTGGTAGCATTTGCCACCCCAGGTGGTAACCGACCAATCCCCTCGGCTCAAGGGCTCTGGCAAACTGTGTCCATGTGCGTGCGCGTGTCTGTGTGTCCCCACGGCAGGTACGCACGTGTCATGTGGAAGATGCTGTCGCAGGCACTGATGTGGGACAGGAAGGCGTTGCCGAGGCCCTGGCCGGCATGGGCACCCTTCACCAGCCCCGCGATGTCCACCACGTTCAGGAACGCCGGCACCTTACTGTGTGCACGCACAGAGAAAATAATATGAATAAATAAATCCCCTGTATAACCTAACGGACTGTTGGGGAGTAAGTGCTGTAAGCGGGGATGGGTGACCAACACCACGCCTGGCAGCCTTTGTCTCCCAAGTGGCGATGTTTACACACCGCACCAGGTACTCATTTCAGGCCGAGTCTACCTGGGAGAGGTCCAGGGGCCGGTGCAGATAACCGTCACTGGTGTTGGCCGTGAGCAGGAATCGCACTCGGGTCCCCGGGTTTGTAGCACAGCGCGCTAACCGCGACATTACCGCTCTCCACACAGACAGGCAGGTAAACACACAAACCCGGTGTTGTTTATTTGTTTTCCTACTCGAGTGCGGAACAAAGGTTTGCTTTAACGGCCGCGGCCACTCCCCGCCGCCGGGCGGTGACGCTGGAGATGGCCCAGGCGGGAGAAGATTAAATTAGCGGAGATGGATGCGTACGGCCCGGCTCTAATTACACGGGGCGGACGTCTCGGCGGGTCACGCTAATCAGCAGCGCGCCGGCGGCGGCACGGGCGGCTGGCGGGACGCAGAGCGAGAGCCACGTGCTCCGGCATGCTCCGCGCTGCTCCGCCACAATCCATCACACTCCATCACACGGCATCAAGCAACATCACGCGACATCAAGTGACATCACGCGACATCACGCGACAGTCGCACTCCATCGCGATCCGTCACACTCAATCACGGGGCACCACGTGACATCACAGACTATCATGATCTATCACAATCCGTCACAGTGCATTACGTTACATCAGGGCACATCGCACGTTACGGCGCACTATCACGCACCGTCACATTCAATTACCTTGCGCCATGCTCCACCACGCTACATTACACTGCATTACACTACTGCACACTGCATTACACTTCATTACCACGCCACACTACATCACAGGGTACCACACCTTGTTACACTACATCATGCAGTTTCACGCTACAAGGAGCAATCGTGTTCAACTAGCCTGAATTACAGGCCACCAGTCTCTACTGCACCCTTCATCAGCATGCTGCATTACTCTGCATCATGCTACGTCACCTCCACACCACCCCACATCACATGATATCGTCTGCATCATGTTGTATAATCCCACAGCATGCACCATCATGTTCCATCACCCTGAATTACACTCCACCACAATCAACCACACTTCATCCCATCACACGACATTACACTACATTAAACTACATCACACTACATCACACGGCATTACACTACATTAAACTACATCACACTACATCACACGGCATTACACTACATCACCCTAAATCACTTCGCATGAGGCTACATCACGCCACGCCACCATACGTCACTCCCCATTACACTCCCATCGTTCGACACGCAGAATCAGAATCTAGATTTTTTTCTGGAGGAATCCGATGAGCCACAAAGCTCTTTTTCACAGATGTCCAGGAGGGGCACAGGGTCAGAACGTTACAACAACAAACAAACAATACAAAAACACACGATGGGAGTGCAAGTACAGGAAAGGTAAACAAATCAGTAAACATACAAATAAACCTACGTTTATACTGGTAGGAACCACCTGGTTCCACCAGCCCATAGGGGATTATTGTGTCCGTCCGTCGTACGTCGAAAAATGGGAGGGGTCGGGCTGGGTGGAGAGGGGAGGGTGGGGAGGGGCTGGGTGGGGAGGTTGGGGAGGGGCTGGGTGGGGAGGGGAGGGTGGGGAGGGGCTGGGTGGAGAGCGTGGGGCTGGGTGGGGGATGGGAGGGGTGGGACTGGGTGGGGAGGGGCTGGTCACCCCGTGGTGCCTTTATAAAACTCAACGTTTAACCTACTCACGCCGGCTTGTGTCCGCCCTCACAGTCGGGCATATTTGCGGAATACACCACGCCGCCGTTGACCCTGCAGGCCATTGACCGAGCAACCCAACGTTCCTACCAGCTCCCTCCGCAGCAATGTGTTTTCACCAGCTCAAGCCCACTGGGCTTTCACTTTATTTTTCAGAAGCGACCCGGCTCTGCAGCCGTCACGTGACACCAGACGGCCAGTGGGCACGCCGACAGCAGGGGGGGGGGGGGCATATAATATAATTAAATAATCCTCCAGTGTGCGGGGGAGGGGGGCGTTGGCGAGAGGGGGGTGATAATGGTTCGTCTTTCACATCGTGACGGTGAGTGTTAACAGTGTTAAGGGTTAATGTTAACAGTTAGTGTTCAGGGTGAGTGTTAACGGTTCGTGTTCAGGGCGAGTCTTAACGGTCAGTGTTAATGGTCAGTGTTAACAATTAGTATTAACGGTCAGTGTTACCGGTTAAATGTTAACGGCGAGTGTTAAGGGGTGAGTGTTACCGGTGAGCGTGCGTACCACCCGTACGCGAGGGCTCACCTGAGCGGCTTGTGGTACTGGCACAGGAAGTCGTATCTCGGGTCGGGAATCGGCACGCGGCTCTCGTTTGGGTCGATGGTGCAGAACGGGAAGTTCTCGGCCGACGCTTGGCTCTTCGTCAGCACGTTGAAGAACGTCGATTTGCTGCGGAAGGAAAAAAAAGCCATCAGCCATTTAATTAAATACATTTAATTTGATTCAGCGAAGGGCACCGAGAGGGGGTGGACCAGCGCGGTAGTGGTTAGCGTGTCGTGCTGTAAACCTGGCACCCTGGCCACGGCGAGAGATATTTCACCCGGTTCCTGGGCGTGCCCCCCTTCGCCAAACTGCGCTGAGCAGCGTGGTGAAGTACAGGCCAAACAACTGCCTATGACCAATAGATGTGGGGAGACCATCTAGCGGTGGATGGATAAAATGCAGTCTAGTATAATACATCACGGCGTGAGAACTGCCACATTCAAGCACTCGGCTCCTTGCTCCAATGGGCATTGTTGTGCCTACTTGCTTGCATTGGCCGCCCAGTCATTGGTGGAAATTCTAAATTCCCATGGAATAATCACCATTGCCTTCCCACAAAATGTTTGCCATTTTATCCACCCCAGATAGATAATAGGCCGGGTCAATCGCATCGACTCATACAACAAAATGAATTGGCCAATAACGACACTCAGAATTGTTTTGTATGTGCATTTATTGCACGTGACTGCCAGCAGGAAAGCAAGTTCAGATGCCGTAATCACTGTAAAACACGAGAATGTTCAATGAAGTCACATGTGAACAATGGACATCATCAGCCATGCTCTAACCACTCCTGGATGAAGGCCTCCCCGAAGCTGTGGACATCCCCAAAAGTCTGGCGTTGCAATAATATTGCCGAGCTCCTACATTTGATACGATGTATACGCTCCATCTCCGTGGTGGGAATTATCTCGGCCCTGTTTCCTCCTTTGGCTGCCACTCCGTTGTTCGTCGCGGCCACCAGCCATCGTCACTTGGAGTGACGGTCTCGGGACGCTGCGCTTTAAATACACCGTCGCTATAAATGAGCACAACGGAGGTCTTATGAGCAATACTAGAGCGCACTGGGCCAAACGTGTGGAGCAGCAGCAGCTGTTTGCATAAATAGCTTCCCACTTTTTTTACAGCGAACTTTGCAGTCCTACACAGAGCTTCCTTTTGGGTACTGCCCCACCCCAAGGCATCACCATGGCTCGCCAAAAATAAATCAAGTCAAGCATTTACACCCGTGATCATCACACCAGAAGAATTTTCATTCACATTAAAATAAAATAAATACATGCATTGCCATCGATTTATTCTTAAATTCGTGATAAAGTGGTGCATCGTAGGCATATTATGATTTGAACCTCATGGCGGGTCCCGGGGTCCCATAAGCCGGTCATTTTGGGTGAGTGAAGTGGCCGGGAATTAAACTCAGGTTGCCCGGGTTCATTGCACAGAATGCTAACCCAATGCACCAAATGATGCACCCATCATTTGCATTCAGTGCAAATAGCTGACGCTTAGAGAAACAAATTACATGCATGTATTGTGAGCATAATAGATGATTTTCATAGAATTATCAATAGTTGCAAGCCTAATATATTCACACAAGTTTGTATAGTCAGCCGTATACTGTTGACAACTGCATACGATGTCATACAAATATCGTACAACTAGGCCAGCTGGAAATTCAAATCAAATATCGCTTAGTCACAGACGCAAATTTCAATGGGAGACAGTCTTTTTTATTTCATAACAAAACAACAAAAATGTAGAACAGATGAGTATTTACCCGACGTTCGGCAAGCCGACGATTCCGATCTTTAGCGACGTCCCAAAGCGCCCAATGATGGGCATGGGTTTGTCTTCAGCTTTCTTTGGTGCCATGGTCTCTGAAAGAACGCAAACGACCGTGAATCAACAAGAACCCGCAAATTCAGCGCGTGCAACATCTACCAATGGGTAACTGTTCAGCCCATCTCTTCTCTGGGGTCAATAAATCAGGATCACCTTGTGGGCAAGTCCGAAGCGGTTAGCATATGTATAGACATTTGTAATTTTCAACCATAGGGATGCAGAGTTTCCACCACAGGAGATGAATGATGCTGCGTCAATGCTCATTTAAGCAGGAAAACAAGTTGACTTTTTTTTGTTCCCATGCCGATTGGGAAACATTCTACTTCTATCAGGAACCCACAGTGTATATGGTGCACAGTGCAGTCTCCAACTATTAACCACTCAACTACTCTGGCCGCAATCTCTACTATCAAGAAGGGCTATTGCCTGAAACATCACCTGTTATATATGTACATTTTTCCTTTTAGGGCAGTGTTATTGATGTATGTGTTGAGCTTTTGTACACCACCAGTACCAACGCAGTATCAAGTGTTTAATATCCTTCTTAGGGTTGCTGTTAATGGGTTTGAGTGTTGTCAATAATCACGTGTTAAAAAGTTATGAACATTTGATAATTTGGAACAAAAATTTTGTTACACAGTGTAATCGTTAAACCAAACTTCACCAACCTGCACTGACCAGCGTGGTGAAGTATGGTCAAACAAGATCCATGACCGACACATCTTTGTTGAGAACTTCATCTTGCAATGGACTGACAATGAATGAGCTGTCGGTTGTTACCCTATCTTGTGCGCAAAGGGTCGTTGCGCGACAAACCACCACATCTGAACGTTTCCTTGTGGTTTGAACGTCTGCGTGCCAATCGAGTTCAACCGCTACTAAAATTTAACTGGATTTGATTGTCAATTTCATGGCGTTTGGTTACAATAATCGATTCTGTAAACAATTCTGTTGAGAAAGAAAACAATAATCACCAAGCCTAATCTAACTAGAACACTGACTCGATTGGCATGTGCATGCAGACCAGAGATTTGTAGGTAAAAGGATGGTGGGGATCACACCATTATTCATGGTTCCATCTGTGCCCTGAGATTCTCAAGATCTGCTTGGGCTGAAAGGTGCCCCATTTAAACGACAGTAGAGCAATTGAGTTCCTCGCCCAACTGCGTGGACATTCAAATGTTAACCCCTTATGTGTGTGCAGGTTTCCTGCCACATGAAAATAAATTCCAGATTTGAAGCTTTCGTGACTGCAAGGATTCATATTACAGACAGCATCCTGTAACCATTGCCATATCGGAAAGTGGAATTTATTTTTATTCTTAGGTTTTTTCGGTAAAGTCACGTAGGTAAAACATTAAAATTTTAATGTTTTACCTACGCGACTTTACCAGGTAAAACATTAAAATTTTAATGTTTTACCTACGTGACTTTACCGAAAAAACCTAAGAATAAAAATAAATTCCACTTTCCGATATGGCAATGGTTACAGGATGCTGTCTGTACCGTGAATGTCCATGTGCCACTTCAATGTTTAAATAAAGTACATAACTGCATACATCAATAGTTAAATAACAGACACTACCACAAATTCTCAATGATTAAATAAAGGCTATAAATTGTTTGTTAAGTAAAGGAAATCACTGCACACCCCAATGGTTAATTAAAGTGGCACCTATTCATACATAAATTGTTACATTATTAGCAACTAGCCAATAGCACGTCTAAGGACGGGTGTATATATTGCAATTAATCTGAAATATTCAATCGAAAATAATGACCCGCTCATGATTATTAATGAGGGGTGGGGTCCACACGAGTGACGTCATCACCCATGATTATTGATTAGGGGGGTGCCCCATGTGGAGTGATGTCACCCGCTAATGAGTATTAATTAGGGGTGCGGCATGTGGCGTCACGTCACGCGCGGGATACACATTCTTGGCTTATATTAGCAATATTAATGAACGGCTAAATGACACTGCCAATGGTTAAATAAAGGACAGTGCCAATGGTTTAAAAGGCACCGTCAAGGAATGGTTAAAGGGTACGGCCAATGCACGCTGTAAGACTACCAATGCATTCTTAACGGAGACTTGGGATGCGCTGTTAAATAAAGAAAATTGTCAAATCGTGGTCATATAGAGGACGCTATCAATGAATGACTAAATGGCACTATGAACGCATGGTTTAAAAAGGAACACTGCCAATGCACGGTTAAATAAAGGCCACTTTGAATACATGGTTGAATAAATCATGTCAATGGTTTAATTAAGTACACCATACCCTATTGGTTAAATAAAGGCGGCCAAGGTATACATCAATTGTTAATTAAAGGCCGCTATCAATGAATGGCTAAATGACACACGCAATGAATGGTTAAATAAAGGACACTCCGAATAAATGGTTGAATAAAGGACATTATCAACGCTGGGCTAAATAAAAGACACCATCAATGAATGGCTAAATAAAAGACACTTTCGATGAATGGCTAAATAAAGCACGCATCCCCAATGGTTAAATAAAGGCCACCAGACGCCCACGTGCCCTCACGCCCCGCTCGACTAGCAAGGCCTCGCCGCCCCGTCCGGCACACCACGGGCGAGCAAGGGGGAGGCCCCACGCCGACCCTTGGGCCGTAGTGGAGGGGGGGGTCAAGGGAACCCAGCTGGAGCAACGGGGGGCCGAGGAGGGACCCGAGGGGGGCCCGGGAGGTACCCGAGGAGACGCGGGGAAGCCGCTCCAATACCTGCGGGTGCCCGGAGCCCTCTGATGCGCGCTGCTGGAGGGACACGTGACCGGCTGGGGGGGGGGGGTGACGCGCGGTGACGTCACGGGCACGCTTGCAAAGGGGGCGGTGGCAGCGGTGACAGCCACGTGGGTTTGCGCCACGTGCTCCCAGCCAAAGGCGCAGCTCTGCAACTGCTAGTCGCGTGCCACGCCTCTGCGGTGGCTGTGAGATGTTAACTACCTCGCCTGGTGTGCAGGAGGTCGTAGGTTCGATCCCGATCCTGACGCCTGCTGCTGTGTATTTGGAGTTTACGTGTCTCTCTCATCATCATCACAGTGGCTGGGAGATGTTAACTACCTCGCCTGGTGTGCAGGAGGTCGTGGGTTGGATCCAGACCCTGACGCCTGCTGCTGTATATTTGGAGTTTGCATGTCTTTCTCATCATCATCACAGTGGCTGTGAGATAATAACTACCTCGCCTGGTGTGCAGGAGGTCGTGGGTTGGATCCCGACCCTGACGCCTGCTGCTGTGTATTTGGAGTTTGCGTGTCTCTCTCTCTCTCATCATCATCACGGTGGCTATGATATGTTATCTACCTCGCCTGGTGTGCAGGAGTTCGCGGGTTCGATCCAGACCCTGACGCCTGCTGCTGTGTATTTGGAGTTTGCGTGTCTCTCATCATCATCACAGTGGTTGTGAGATGTTAACTACCTCGCCTGGTGTGCAGGAGGTCGTGGGTTCGATCCCGACCCTGACGCCTGCTGCTGTGTATTTGGAGTTTACGTGTCTCTCTCATCATCATCATCACAGTGGCTGGGAGATGTTAACTACCTCGCCTGGTATGCAGGAGGTCGTGGGTTGGATCCAGACCCTGACGCCTGCTGCCTAAGGGAGGGGGAGGGGCCGATAGTTAAGGGGGCTGGCTACCTGGCTGGCTGCCTGGCTGCCTCAAGTCAAGTGATCTTGTACACAGGTAGGAACAACAGGTTCCACACTGCCCACCAGGAATTATTTGTCTGTCGTGCACGAAAGCGCTGTCCAACCAAGTTCCTACCTGCCCACTCCGAAGGAACGTGTTTTATTCATGAGCGACTTGCTTACCTTCGCTATATTTGGCGCTCCTGTCGCGTGTTGCACTGTTTGTGGTTGTTAACGTGTGACCCGCCCCCTACTGGACACCTGTGAAAAAGAGCTTCATAGCTCATCGGATTTCCCCTCCAGTCTCAACAGAGATTCTGATACCGATATTGGGACGATGCCCAATTTCATGTGGGGGGTGGTGGGGGGGACAAAGATAAAGATCCCCCGTATAGCCTTAACAGACTGTTCGGGCAAGTGTTGTTAGCGAGCACCTATGAAGGCCATGACGGCGCACGAGGGGGTGAGTGGCCAGCACCACGCCCAGCCGCCTTTGTCTCCCCAGTAGCGATGTTTTCTTACGCACAGCACTAGGGACTCATTTGAGTCGACCTAGAGGAGGACCTGGACCGGTTCAGATAATAGTCACTGGCGTTGGCCGTGAGCAGGAATCGAACTCGGGTGGCCAGGTTCGTAGCACAGCGCGCTATACGGGGAGGGGGTGGGGGGTGACCAGAGCACGCGCACTACGAGACAACCCACGCGGTTCCCCGCTGATGTCGCAACTGCGCCACCATCTCCTGGCCACCGCACATGCCAGCAAGGTACGGCGATTCTTCACAAGTCCGAGGCACAAACCCTCGCCTCCAAATCGCGGGATCGCTGACGCAAGCCACCGCGCTCGACTAGCAGTCAGCCACGGTCTGTCTACTGAACTCACCAGGGACTAAAGAGTGGTAACTGTTCATAGGCAAATGGGAAAAAAATATGTTTATCAGCAAACATGTTTTAAATGTAATTCTTCTTAGGCCCTATTGTGTAAAGGACAGTCTCCAACTCGTCTCCACCAGTGCCGGATTAAGCTCGTGCGAGGCCTGTGGCATATGTTATGAAGGAGCCCTGAATAAAAAAGAAACACATTTTTTACTTGCATAGTAAAATAATTGTATTTTTTCATTTGCTACACAGCCAGATAACACGACAAATCACTAACCTTAAACACCCAGTCGTTCATAAAAGTTGAAGGCGGTATAGTACTATAGTAATAGAGCAAGTGCAGAATCACTGAACCGGAATTGATAGCTTGAAAGCATTTAGCGCGCGGGGCCCTTGAAAGTGCGGGGCCCGTGGCTACATTTGTAGCTACTTTTGCCCCTAGGAGAATCCGGCACTGGGCTCCACTCTATCCCTCTAGACCAGGAATACGCAACCAAAAGAGCAAAGAGGCATTTTTTTATTCGGTAAAAAAATAAACTCCGTATTCAAGATGCGCAATGCACGTGAATAATGCCACGAAGCAGCAGTCATTAAAGAGCCGCATGCGGATCTGGACCCGCAGGTTGCCGACCCCTGCTCTAGTCCCTTGGTTTATGTGCTGTGAAGAATAAACATTGCCCGAAACGTCACCTATTATCAATAAATAATTTCTATAATAGTGACGAATGTGGCGAATTGAATTATTTTGTCTGAGTGAAGGAAAGCTCTCGCGCATAATTTCTACATATCCTGCTTCTTCTATAATTGTCCACATCAAATGCATGGTCAAATGATACAAACAAAAATTGGAATCCTCGTTCACTGCATCTTGGGCTAATTCATTCAGAAAACACAAGAATCATCTTTGAGAATTATATACTTGTTTTTAGGAAGGCAATTATCATGACAATATGCCCATAACCCACAATAGCCTCACCGAGTATCATCTGGCCCATGTTTAGGCGAGTCCTGCGATATTGAAATGTCTGGCCGCGACGGTTAACAAAGAATGTGGGTGCCTGTGGAGTCCAGAGAAAATCCACCACGCACACTAAGCTCACAGCTCCGCACAGATAGATGATTTAGGAATCCACTATTTTACTGTTACACTTTACACACGTGAACTGATGTCTAAATACTGGACAAAGATGATCCGTGTATCCTGTATAAGCTTTTGGGGAAAATGTTGTTAGGCGAGCACCGTGTGGCCAGAACTACGCCCGACCACCTTTGTCTCCCCAGTGCTAATGGATACACAATCGTTTAAGGCCGAGTTGACCTAGGGGAGGCCAATAGCCGGTTCAGATTTTCACTTCTGATGTTAACTGTGATCGAGAATAGAACTCGGGTCGCCAGGTTCTTAGCGCGGTGCGCTAAACCTTTACGCTACCACTCCCCAATTACTCACACAAAACAACCGCCGTTCGCCACTAAGTAGCTGTGACGTCGCAACGGCGTTTGTGCCAGGCTATGTGCACATACTCGGGTGACCACACAGATACCCCACTTATCGGCACTAACGCCCAGAGCTTTATTTCGGCTGGAACAGTCCGTCTGGAGCGCTGTTCCTGGGATAATCTTGGCAAGCCACATCCATTTCACATTATTTATTACCGAATACAGTGCATCTATATTATAAACCTCTTCATAGGATTATATAAATATAGAGTACAGTAATATAGGATCATGATGTATAAGCATGCCTTGTGTTCTAGTTGTAGTGCCTTATGCCGTTATTCTCTGCTCCAAGCCAGCCTAGCAGCTTTCCGGAAAATATCGAGTGGGAAATTAAAACTCTGGTTTCATGACATAAAAGCGTGACAAATGATGACACGATAAGGCTCTAATGCGAGACCAGTAATTAAAGAGGCGCCTTCCCCTAACGAGACATCCATCAGCGGGGATCAGGGGCTCGAAGGTGGGGGGGGGGGGGTGCAGCACGACCGCGGTGGTCAGGAGAGAGCGCAGAGGCTGGGTTATTTATCGCGAGTAGGGAGCGGTGGGGCAGTGGTTAGCGCACGGCGCTACTTAGCCGGCAATCATGGGTTCGACACTCGGTCACGGCAACATCGTAGGCGGCGAACGCACCGGTACTGGGACTCCCCAAGGTTAACTCGGCCTTTCCTTAACGAGCACGCTGGGAAGACGAATGCGGCCGCGACGTGGTGCTGGCTACAGCCCCGTCTCGCGCGCCGTTCCTATCTCAATATGTGCTTCGCAGGGAGCACTTGCCCCGAACGCCTGTTAAAGGCTATAAGGGGGATCTTTGTTGTTGTGTTGCGAAGACCCCCCCCCCCCCCCGCTCCAGCACGACTGCCCATGGTCCCACTCCGTCAGTGTTAAAACAAATCGATGCGTGGGGTCGATGCAACTTAAACTTGGCTGATAGCAGCAACCCAGCGTCGAGCTTGGCCATGCGTGTTGTCGTGTGCGCGTGTGCGTCCTTTTTGTGCATCTGTGTGTGTGTGGCTGTGTGCCTCCCCGTGGTTGTGTCCGTGCGTGTATTTGTGTTTGTCTGCGAACGCGTGCGCTCTGCGCGTGCCTTCTGCGTTGCGTTTGCAATGAAGCGGGTGCGTTTGCGCACACACGTGCGCGCACGTTAGACACACAGCACACACACGTGCGCGCACGTTAGACACACAGCACACACACGTGCGCGCACGTTAGACACACAGCACACACGCGTGCGCACGTTAGACACACAGCACACACGTGCGCGCACGTTAGACACACAGCACACGCGCGCGCGCACGTTAGACACACAGCACACACACGTGCGCGCACGTTAGACACACAGCACACACACGTGCGCGCACGTTAGACACACAGCACACACGCGTGCGCACGTTAGACACACAGCACACACGTGCGCGCACGTTAGACACACAGCACACACGCGCGCGCACGTTAGACACACACGCGCGCGCACGTTAGACACACAGCACACACGCGTGCGCACGTTAGACACACAGCACACACGTGCGCGCACGTTAGACACACACCACACACGCGTGCGCACGTTAGACACACAGCACACACGTGCGCGCACGTTAGACACACAGCACACACGCGTGCGCACGTTAGACACACAGCACACACGCGCGCGCACGTTAGACACACAACACACACGCGCGCGCACGTTAGACACACAGCACACACGCGTGCGCACGTTAGACACACAGCACACACGCGTGCGCACGTTAGACACACAGCACACACGCGCGCGCACGTTAGACACACAACACACACGCGCG